TTGCTTAAAAATATTTCCAATACTTCTCTAGCATTTAGGAGGGGAAAAATCCACTTCTAGTTTACCTAATATTTCAAGGCAAGTGTTTAGCTATGTTAAAACCGAGGTTATTTCTTAATTTTTTTCTTAGTTAGCAGGCAATGCAGCTGGTGATTTTGGATGGGCTTCACCCATCACATCTCTCACCTACTGAAACACTGGATTGACCTTCGCTAAAGATGTCAGCTTGAAAAGACCATACCCGTGGACTGTCCTTTACATTCTGACCCCAGCACAGAGCAAAAGCAGCTGATCATGGCAGCCTTTGGGCTCCAGACCCTACCAAAAACAAAGGGGATATTCATTTTTATAGTGAGATTTACAAAAATAGCATTTCGATACAGAATCAACATCTCTATATTTTTTAAATACCTTCCAAAATACCTTTTCCTTGGGTCAGTCAAACAAGATCACTAGCTACACATAACTTGCGCAAGTGGGATCCTTTCATAATATACTAAAGTGCTGTGATCCAGGGCTGGCTGGCACTTTGGCCCCTACGCCAGGTTTCTTAAAACCTGATCAAATACCAAATACAAGAGATGCAGGAGCTGTGCCACAAACAGAGCAACCGCAGAGGCTACGGCCCTGCCCACATTCACTCTCATCTCTCATGTATTTTTCTAGCACTGTGTGATGTGGGTGCCAGCTATAGATTGTACCATACTGCTAACACAACAGGGTCCACAAACAGATAAGGAGAAAAATTCTAGGGCAGTTTCTGTGTACTATGAGGAATAGTTTTTTTTTTTTTTTTTAAGAATCATTTCTGCTTACTCATATGTGAACTAATATCCTCATGATTCATGAAAGATTAAGTTCTAATGTGAAGTTTTTTACTGATTTCTTTGAGAGGCAACACAATTCACCATCATCATCTAAGCACTAAGTCCTGTACATTAAATTCTCTTTTGTTTTAATATTATCAAGAATTTGGAGTTCATTTTTTCAGATGAACGAAAGACGTTATACTGTTGGATTAATAGACACATACCAACAAACACTTTAAGATATAGATGAAAAATATGCATTTCAACATCACAACAAAACCTTACAAGTGTAAAAAAATAAATAAAAGCTTCAGTATCTAAGTTGGGGATTGCATCCTACAAATAACAAATAGACCACCTTCCATGCTTGAGAAAGTCTAAATCATCTTCTTACTATAAAATAGAGTCTATGTTTCTATTCTTCCATTTTTCATGTGCTACTCTTGAAGATAACGGCTGCCAGAAGTTATTCTGAACTTATTAAAACACAGGTTGGAATTAAGAAGAAGAAATAAGGAATGTGAAAGGTCATAGAATTTTACTGAGATCTATGAGCCCATCCAATCACTTTGGAAAACTTGGCAGATATTTTTTTAGTTGACAAGGTATCTTCCACAAAAAAGTTTTCACACACTGCCCATAATTGCAAAAAGAATGTGGATGTTATGCAATGTTCCTAATAACCAAAAATCAAAAGTTACAACAGAGGGCATGATATATATAATACAATAAAGGACTGATTAGAAAGATTGAATTGGTCTTAGTTCATTGTGATAAAAACTGTTATGTATGTAGGCAATTACCTGCCAGAGTGGCAACTTTCTCATCCAGCTTGTGTGAAAAGTACACTGAATACAGAGAAATGCAGATATGCAACTGGATGAAGATTCATGCTTGAAAAAGATAAGATGTTTTTCAAAAAAAAGTGGAGAGAAAATACGTATGCAAAATGGAAAGAAGAAATAGACACAATCAGTATTTATTCTCATGTAAATGCTAAGGTAATTTCTTAAAACTCAGAAGAGCATGCTAGTTCAGACCTCGATAGCTCTCAATTTTCCTAACATATGAATAACTACATCAGTGCATTAGACACAACAGGCTGTCCTTCAACATCAAGTACAGAACATGTCTTGTTCCATTTTCTTATTTTGCAGAAAGCATGTAAATAGGAACTGCAGTCAATGCAGATATAAGCCCAGTCTATACTCTTGCTTCAATTCACCTTTATTCCTACAAAGTCTTCCTCTGCAGTGATTATAAAGGATTTTCAGATAAAAATCAACCTCTTAAACCTGTATTGTAAAAAAAAAAAAAAAAAGGAACTGGGAAAAATAATTAGAATATATTCCATCAACAATGTACACAAACTTTCTAAAAAAAAAAATTCTGCAAGGTTCCCTAAGTTGTTGCTTGCAAGGAGCATACAATCGTATTACTAGTACCACAGGGGAATTAATGTTAAAAATAATGGCCAGAAGGCAAAGTAGGATGTTTGCAATGTATTTCACAACTGTGGTCCATGAAAAGGAAAACCTTGGCACTGAGGCTTACTGACTCAAGAATATATAGCAGAAGCAGTGTCAAGCAGTGCAAATGCTTCACTAATTTTGGTTATAAGGCTTGAAATCAATCCAATGCTTAATCAAGTGCTAATAAATGTGAAGGATTTGCTGAATTACATTACATACATACAGCCTTCCTTTAGAAATGGAGAGAGAAGGTGTTTTATGCCTTTGAATTGAGTGATTTTTGTTCATTATCTGTTGATAATTTGATGACAATTTCTTCTGGCCAGTAAACATAATCCACTTCATGCCCCTTGACGGGCATACATAATTTTTATTTGTCAAAACAGAATGACAAGTGTTAAAAGAATCCATTTTAAAGATAATCTCATTTGACTCATATCTTGCTTCTGTACTCACAATGTGACAAAAACACCACAGTAACCAAACTAGGAATTCTCATCATGTAGTAACAAGTGATAAGAAAATGATTAAGTTCTGGCATCGAATGAACCTCTGAAATACCATTCACCCCTTCCATCTCTCAAAGAGTTTGCATCAAAATAAAATATAGCTTCAATTTTAGCAACATCCCTGTTAACAGTCTTATTTCCCACTGAGAGCAAGACAGGGTGGGGAAACAGATGAACTGATCTTTATCACCTTCAGATAAGGCTATTACGGATGGCTGTCTTTGAAAGAAGTTTAGAGAAGTCCCACCACAAAATCCTAGATTGTTTCAAATATTTCTGCTAATGTGATGGTTGGCAAAAAGGCTATCCTTATTAACAGCCTTTCCACTTCACATGAAGTTACAGTCTATAAGGAAAAAAAAAATTCCCATGCACCCATAAAATGGCTATAAACTCCCCAAGAAACTTTACCAATGCTGGATGATTTATCAGATTCTTTTTTAAATGAAGGAGCATCAGACATACACACAATCCAACTATTTTCAATAAGCTAGAAAGTATAATCAGAATCACAAAACACAAGGAAAATGTGAGAAAGCATTGCCCGTATCAGAAAAGACAAGTTAACCACATTCAGCATAACAGGATAGGCAAGCTGAGAAAGAGTTAGCTGAAGAACACAAGAGTGACCCACTTTCCGCGCAGCCTGCAACTGCCACGCAGCAGCCAAGGTCAGGAGGCGTCTCTCTGGGAAAGAAAGCACTTACCTTCCTTGGGCATCCCAAGGACTGGTGTGCTTAACAAAGGGTTTCTACAGAAAAAAATATTGCAATAAATAGAGCATTTTTTTCTTTGAGTGCTTGACACAGATTCTCAAGATCGCAGGGTGCCTTTGAAACCCAGACTGGCACTCTCTGCCGGCGAGCTCAAGGCAGTTTAAGTGGCTGCTCAGTGGCAGCCACAAAGTTTCTCCCAGTTCCTCCTGTAAAAAGATACTGTCATCCCACTGATGAGTAAACTCACCTAGCTGCTTTCTCTTACACAAAGCATTGCTCAAGTTTCCTTAACCCTAGCTGGGTTGAAAATATTACTTCAGTCTAACAGCAGAAAATATATAAAAACAGAGATATCCAAATTGTATCATCAGTAATTAAAAGCATTTTAAACTTTTCAGAGTCGAGGAAAGGTGCCTACCACAGAGTAAGAAATATCATAATTATGTTTTCAGAATGCAGCTACAAGAGGAGAGATGGGTACAACTGAGAGTGAAAGATGCACACAGTTGGATGCAGCAGAGTCTTGATAGTTGATGCCTGCAGTTTATCAGTTACATTTATGTTAAAAAGAACTCACTGAGATAGGCAGACTACTTTAAGATTATTGATGAAAGCTGTGTACATCATATTATCAGAAATGCATAATGCAGTTGAAACATCCAGCAATTTATTCCAATATCTGCATTATTTAACGATACCCACGTAACATTATGTTGATGAACTAACCTGCAGACACGGGCAGGAAAGTACAGCTTCTGCCATGACCGACAGAGGTACTTGGAGTGATCGATAACTCTAATCCAGTCCAACTCATCCATGGACACCTCAATGTAGTAGGAATAAGACCTATGGATTGTCAAAAAAATGATTTTAAAATATAGTATACATTTTTTTTATATAATGCACTATTTTCAGCACTTTCTTATTACTAGCATATGCATATTTGACAAAATGAGACTCCAGCATTCTGGAGCCTGTACAAGTGTGCCTGTTGTATCCAAAAGTTACTAGTTGTCCCCTGTGTGATGAGAATTCAGGGATCCTCACAACACTATACCTAGAATAACACAAATTTGTAACCAGTTTACGAGGTGCTATCAGTTTACAAAGACACCAAAGAGAGAAAAAAAAAAAAAAAAAAAAAAACACACCTCAAATACAAGCCTTTGTGTCATTATGTGTGATAACTGTATTTGCTTAAGGATGGTGTCTTTTTGGCAGACGCAGTTTAAACAGCCAGTCTCCTCAGCCTCCCTGACACTTTTATACATTTATACAAGATTCAATTGGTAATAGCTCACATATTACTACAGATGCATGTTATTTATAACTAATATCTGTGGTTCCATCAAAAACATAAAATCTGTATTATCTATATACAGTTATCTAATAAGCCTGAGTTTTACAGGGAGAAGGATGAGTAGTTTAAAGGATCATTTAACAAGAAAGCACAATGTGATTCTACAGTTGTCAGAATCCCTCCTTTGAAAATTACATCATTCGCATACCACATGAGAAGGATATAAAGGAGTGGTTGGCAATTCTTAAAACAGAAGAATAAAACAGGATGGAAATGGTGTGGTCCCATCCCATACCCTAAGCAAGGACAACTTAGAGCGGGGCTTCTCATGGCCTTATCTAGTACTTCCAAGGATTGAGACACATTGCCTCCCTAAGCAGACTTTTCATGTTTGACTATCCCCATTATGAATATTTCTCCTAATATTTGATTGGAAGTTTAGTAGGTACTTCAAATGCATCCTTTGGCATTTATCTCAGACAGCTTAGCTACCACGAGAAAAATGACGGTTCAGGCAACATGTTTGGCAGAAAGCCAAGACTGAGAACCCAATATCAAACTTTGTAAAAAAAAAAAAAAAAAAAAAAAGAGGATGACACTGAAACTAGATCCTAAATCACTATAACCTAGGTATTTTCTCATGAGAAAGAGCCATTCTAGAAGTCTGCCTTGGCTGATATTCCACTACCAAACCTGAGGAAAGACATAGAGCAATTTATTCAAAAATTATCTCCCACATCATATAAAATAGGGCTTTTTTGTTTGTTTTTAAACCTAATTTCAGAATTTGTTGGCTGAATTATGCCTGGCAGATGAGGAACATTTTACCACTTACAACCTCCCTGAAAACTGCTAGAGTTCCTCAGTATTAATATGCCTCTATTATGTTTTCAAATTTACTTAAATACTTTAGTTGGTTGACCTGTGGCCTATTTACCTTTAAATGCTTAGCTTTTTAGTCTTCCCCAAAAGAAAAGAGAAAAAGCATAAGTTTTAGTTGTTCTGAAATAGTTGAACTTGCATCAAACAATTAAATGTTTTAAAAATTCATGCAGATTATGCAAGACTAATGATTGCAGCTCATATTTGAAATAAGTTTTCATATTATTAATAAATAAAACTTAGCAAAAAGATAGTATTTCCTGTTCTAAAATAATACAATGGTTAAAAAGAGAAAGTACACCTATCTTGAAATTATAAACCCATTAATCTGGACAGGCACCTTTTTTAACGTGTTGTTATTTTTGCAACTAGCATCTAGCTTTACTACTTTTAATAAAAAAGTATTTGCAACCACCTGCATGAGTTGTCTACTAACCTGCAAAAAACTTGGCGAAGGCAAGTTAAAATATGAATCTATTCAATCTGTCACATAAAAAGAGCCTTACAATCTTCCTACTTGCACATTCACTCAGTTGTTCAGAGAGATATAATTTGTTTTCATGCATGTCATTAAAATATTAAATAGCTGAGCAGAAACATAAGTTCAGGTATTAACTAACATAACCATGATAGTTTATACTTCACAAGTTTCATAATAGAGAGGTTTGTATTAACTGATGCAGTTAGTACATTTTTTTAGAATGTACATTACCAGCTACCTGGGAGTTATTCTTAAAAGTGTTAATATGTTAAGATTTTGGTATGATAAAAAACTTTGCATTCCAAAAATTGAAGAAATATTTGTGCAAGTACATAAATAACAGATTCTGAAAAGCACAAAAGACCACTAAATGTTATTATTCAAACAAATAAAAGCAGTTGAAAACTAAGTGGCAAATAGAAAATTGAACTATTAAAACATTATTAGTAGTATAAGCTATTTAACAAAGACACAGAGAATACAATGAGACATTGTAGTATAAATCTAATATCATAATATATAGCCTGCTGTGCAAGTAACCAGAACCACGCAAGAAAAAAAAAAAAAATCACACTCTCAAATAAAAACTGTCAGTGCTATCCCCAACATTGTATCACGACATTTGTATAAAATATTTATGAACATTTAGCATCTATATGTTAGGACAGGTTCAAAAATCACTGCTTTCCCTTTTTAATGCCAGCTTGCTACCTACCTACTATCTCGGTCCCACAGGAGTATCCTTATGTGGTTGATTATTGATGGCTGGCCTAGTTTAATTTCAATTCCAGACCGGCAATCATCATCGATTGGATGTCGAGAAAATCCATGATCCAAGTCATAGTTCTGAGTGTCCCCATCTAATAAAGCAGATTTCAGCTCCCCTTTTACAACCTGAGCACCATACTTCATTGTTGCGATATTCTCACCTGGTACTAAGAAGAAAAGTAAATAATTGCTTAATATTTATGATCCCACAATATAAGTTACATATTCTGAACATCAACTGCTAAGTCAAAATAGAGATTTATTGCTTCCTCCAATGGTGGCAACAAACACTTGCTTAAGGAAAAAAAAATAATACAGAAAGAGAACCAGTGCAGAATGATACTCTCCTTACATGACCATTTAGTTTCCAGTAATCCACAACTCAATTTCCTAAGCCATAAATTGTATCTCCATATATAATGACCAAGAACAGATGATTTTGTGAATTTCTATCCCTCCCCAAACCAGCTTTTACAAAAATTGTCTATACTTTGGTTCCAAAGCACAACGTAGCACTATGATCACAAAGCAATTATGCTTTTTAACAAAATGCATTTTGAAAACTTCACTTCCTGCATTTCATTTAATACCCTTGGGTTCATGTAGGGTCGTAAGTGATCACTTACTAATAGGTAGTAGTAAGAGGTGATCACTTACTAATATGTGATATCTATACTCCCAGTGCCTTTCAGGATTTTATAGAATTCTAAACTACCTTCCCCATTTAGTCACTACTTTCTTCCCTACTTAGATACTTTTGTCCTACTTAGTCCCTCCTTGGAATCAGCCTCTCACCATACCTCCCATCACCCTTGTGTCCTTTATTTTTTGTTTGTTCAATTTTGACTTTTTTTTTTTTTTTTTTTTTAAAGG